CTGAGTGCTGCTCTGACTTCCTCTGTCACCTGTGCTGAAGAGGAGCTGATTCCAGAGTCTGACGTCCCCTCCCCATGTGCCAGCCGCCCACAGTCATGTTCTGATGCCCCATGTGCCAGCCGCCCACAGTCATGTTCTGATGCCCCCATGTGCCAGCCGCCCACAGTCATGTTCTGATGCCCCATGTGCCAGCCGCCCACAGTCATGTTCTGATGCCCCATGTGCCAGCCGCCCACAGTCATGTTCTGATGCCCCATGTGCCAGCCGCCCACAGTCATGTTCTGATGCCCCATGTGCCAGCCGCCCACAGTCATGTTCTGATGCCCCATGTGCCAGCCGCTCACAGTCATGTTCTGATGCCCCATGTGCCAGCCGCCCACAGTCATGTTCTGATGCCCCCATGTGCCAGCCACCCACAGTCATGTTCTGATGCCCCATGTGCCAGCCGCCCACAGTCATGTTCTGATGCCCCATGTGCCAGCCGCCCACAGTCATGTTCTGATGCCCCATGTGCCAGCCGCCCACAGTCATGTTCTGATGCCCCATGTGCCAGCCGCCCACAGTCATGTGGAGTTTGTTCATAGGAAAAACTGTTGCATAGTGGACGGTAACTACTCAAAATCATGTGTGTGAACTGACAGACATGTATGCATGGATTTCTTTAAAAAAATTTATTTATTTATTTGAAAAATAGAAGAGAGATGGAAAGGACTGCTATAAATATTAATGCTTAAAGTAGCTTAGCTCATTGAGAATCAGGCATACATTGCAATCGCAGCACATGCGTAAGCCAGTAGGGGTGATGGACTATGCTGGACCTTGTACTGGCAAGCACACGCAAGAATCAGGTCTGAGGATCACCCAAGATGAAGTTTCTTTGGGGATCCCTCCAACTGAACTGCTGATCTCAGAACCCCAACCATGAAGAGACTGTGTCAGCCAGTGGGTTCTGAATAGATTTCATTGTTCATGGGATGGCAAGATTGGCAGCAATTCAGAACTGTTGAGCTCTCAAAACTGCTTAGCAGGACCCTCAGAGAATGCTCCACATTGGGGACCTGGGAAGCTCGGCGGGGCTTCTCCCTTATCCCAGATACAAAAAAAAAATAATAATATTAATGTGAAAACAATGGTCTTGCCCACTTTCCTGTAGCCCTTGACCCTTTGCGCCCTTACTGTAAAGATTATCAAAATAAAAGAATTTAAAAAAGAGAGAGAGAATAAGGCATATGGCAAGTAACTTCTTTTTTCTTCATAAATACAATTATTAGGATTTCTTTTTAAAATTTTTTAAATCATTATTATCATTTTATGATAGAGTTTCATAGGCACTGGGATTTCCTCGACTCCCTCCCCAAGTGTTCTCTCTCCACTTCCCCATGTCCCCTGTATTATTAAAATAATATAGTTCTTCATAAACAGTCATAAGTTTGTCATTGTGAACATGGACAATGGCACAGAGTCCAGCATCCTATTGTCAAGATAGATTTGGTCCTGGCACGGTGGCCTAGTGGCTAAAGTCCTCACCTTGAACGTACTGGGATCCCATGTGGGTACCGGTTCTAATCCTAGCAGCCCCGCTTCCCATCCAGCATCCTGCTTGTGGCCTGGCAAAGCAGTCGAGGACAGCCCAAAGCCTTGGGACCCTGCACCCACGTGGACGACCTGGAGGAAGTTCCTGGATTTTGGCTTTGGATAGGTGCAGCACTGGCCGTTGTGGCCACTTGGGGAGTGAATCCTTGGACAGAAGATCTTCTTCTCTGTCTCTCCTCCTCTCTGTATATCTGACTTTGTAATAAAAATAAATAAATCTTTATAAAAAGATAGAGATTTAACAGTTTTATTGGGAATCCATCTTTGATCTGGAAGTAGAGATGCATACAGCATTGTATCCTCACATCTGGATATGATAGTCTCCATTACACAGTTACTATACATTCCCTTAAATGAAAAGCCACAAATCAAAATCAACATCAGAAAGAAAAATAAAAATTTACAATGCCATGAAGTTAAATAACGTGTTACTGAGTGACTGAAGTGTGTTGCTGAAGAAATGAAAAAAAAAAATCAAAAACCTTCTTGAAGAAAATGATGCTATGGTATGATCTATGAGTTGGCGAAGAATTTAATATGAGAAAAACTATTTTGAATGAATGAAAATAAAAACAAAAAACATCAAAATCCGTGAGCTGTAGCTTCCGCTGATCTTTGTTGGTGATGTGCATCCTATAGGCAACAGATAGATGGGTTTTGTGTTTTTAATCCAGTCTATGAATCTATGACGTTTGATTGCTGAGTTTAATTCATTTATATTCATGTTGATAAAGGCTTTTGCACCTTTGCAGGGGAGTCTTCAGTAATATTCCTTGTGCCTCTGTCCCTTCTTTTGCTGTTGGTCATTGTACCTCTGGTTATCAGAGTCTTCTCCTTGGGGCAGGTTTCTGAACCGTGTCACTCACAGGTCTACAGTTTGATTTTACTTATTGCATTTGATATCTAGTTATTTGTTTGCAGTCACTTGTGCCGCTCCCTCCAGCACGTTTCAGGTCTGGGCTCTTGTGTAAGGCTTCCACCATGATCTCGGGAGCCCCAGCTCTGGCTCCCCAGTCTCCGCCTGCTGTGATCCCGTGCTATGATTGCACTGTTGTCTGTACAACCTTTCTTCCACTTCTGGTTCAAGCAGATCCCCAGGATTAGGGAGACACCAGGTGTCCTAAATAACTAGGCTGTTGGTGGTGCTGATCTTGTCAGAACCTACTGGCTGTTAGATCAGAGGGCCGCTTGGACCTATTTTGAGTCATAAAATGCCAGAGTCGGTATTATTTTCTCTGTGCAATACACTGAGCTCAATGAATTCATTTGCAGCTCAGCACATGCAGAGCTCACTGCTGTCCCGCCAATCTCACAGCCTTTGCTACACTGTACAAAATGGTGCCTGATGTGCCACTGGTGAAGTTATGGATCTTCTGGTCATTAGATCTGGGACTGCAGACCTATTTTGGGTTGGAACTTATAGTTTGCCATGTCAGTGTAATGCACCAATTTAAAAATTAGTGCATTCCAATCTGAGTGCATGCGCAATCCTATCCCACAAATATTGTCTCCCTACATAAAATGGTGCCCGATGCAGCTCTGGTGGGGGTCTGCACTGTGAGAGCCACCCTGTTCCTGTACCACCTGTTTGGGATCTGATGCTCTCTCTCTGCTGCTGGGTAAATCAAACAAATCAATGGGATGGGAAGTTCTGTGGGTTCACCTGCTGAGCTCTGGGTGAACTTCCCTTCTCACCTGGTTGCTGGTGGAGTTCTGGCTACTGGTGAACCTCAGATAGCCACTGGCTAACTGCCACTGGGTTGTCTGGTCACTGCAACATCACACCGTTGCTCCACCGCTTTCCTGTGCCCATCGTCCCCAGGTGCCCTTCTGCCACCAGTCTGTTGTCTCCTATTTTCTGGAATGTGCCCCCTGTGCTTCCTCTGGCTAATGATTCTCTGTCTAATTATGTCCTTACTTATCCTACTCCACCATCTTGATTGTCCCAGGATTTCTGAGATAGTGATGTGTCTCTAGATGTCTTTTACAAACACAATTGTAAGTAAAATACTCAGTTACTTACGCTCACATATTTAAGCAGTTAGTTAAATACATGCAAACATGCATGTGGTGTTCAGACACATTCTGACAGAACATTGAGACATGTTTTGTGCAATATTCTATTGCAAACATAATTAATAATCTTGTTTTTCTAAAACATCATTAATAAAAACACATTGAAGATTCTGGAGAAAAATTTTTGTAAGTGTTGATAACTAGAATCCAAGGATCAGAAGATGCATGCAAAAATAGGCAAAGGTTCCTGGGACAGATCCAACAGCAAATGCAGGGCGTAAGAAAACACTTGTGCTGTGTTAGAATAAAGCAATGTGTGTTCTGTACCTTGCATCGAGCAATAATGCCAATTTGAAAATTTCAGCCAAAATCCAAAAACCCACACAATTCTTAGACATACTAGACAATGTCAAAATATCAATTTCATCAGTGTGTATGTGTGTGTTGCCTTTTGCTAGAATGAACTCTGAAGAAGAGCTAAGTCCAAAACTTACCCACAAGTCTTTGTATGTATGGCGATTCAGCTGTTTAACTCCAAAGCTAATAGAAATCTAAAACTCATCATCTCAATAAATGGAAGGACAGCCTCCAGAAGGCTGGTCCCAGCAGGACAGGGAAAAGTACATCCTAGGTTGAGGGAACAGAACAGACAAACACTCAGAGCTGCTATTGTGTGAGGAGTGGACAAAGCCAGGGTACACTGGAGCCAGGTATGGTGAGCGGGGAGGCAGGTAAAGGCCAGGCCTGGCTGTAGGGACAGGGTCCTGTTGGCCATGTTAAAGAGTTGACCTCTTATTGTTGAGGAGGTAGAATCCAGGACAGGCTCAAGGTATGAAGAGGTACGTTGACCAGGTTGTGTTTTGAAAGACCCTTTTAACGCTTACTACAGACAGCCTGGAAGGATTGTAAAGCAAGGTATGAGGGACTGGAATAAGAGGGGTTGTCCAATCATCCAGAAGAGAGAGTTGTGGTTTGAGCAGGAGGGGATGGAGGAAGGGAAGGTCTGAGGCAGAGGTGTTGCATTCCAGAGGGAAACTCAATGGGCTAGTTGCATGGATTGGCTGGAATTGATAATGGATAAGACTTCCAAGATGGTTAAGCATTTGGGACACAGCAGTGGGGGAGGAAGGTGCCCCTCACAGTGGCCGAGAAGGTGGAGAAAGGAGTGGTGAGACTGATTGAGTATGGGATCAAGGGCCCCAAGGAAAGGAGTGACCTGGGCAGGTGTTATGCCTCCCAACCCCTGCCCCAGTCATCTGCTCTTGGGATGTCAGGGCATTGCCCCGAACGTGCCCCCTCTCCCTCAGCTGAAGAGGCCCCCAGGGCACGTGCACATGTTGGCAAGGCAAAGCCAGATGTTTTCCCACTAACTTTGCTTGTTTCTCTTTCAGAATCATCCAGAAGTGTTGACTGTTCGAATACAACTGGAAGACAAAGAGCTGATCTTAAACTTGGAAAGAAATGAGTAAGTTCCTTCTTGCTGGTGGTCTGACAGGAGAAACTTGAGACAAGAATGGACGGCACAGTTCCGTCTCACTTATGCCCCCATTGACAGAGCAGAGGTAACTGTGAGGATCATTAGTCCGGATTCAGACTTGAAAGTGTCCAGTGGACAGATAATCACTCTAAAAACTGTGCAGCTCAGCAGGCTTCTTTTTTCATAGCTCTAATATTGCTGCTTCTTAGTCTGATTTTTCAAGGAGCTAATTTAACCATTTGTTCTGTCCAAATAATCGTGTTCTGTAGTTAATTGACTTTTGACAATTCCTGGATTGTGTAAGAGGAAATAACTTCAAATGGATAGAAATTCTTTTCTTCCTGAGAAAAACCAAGAGTTTATTTTATCTTTCAAAACTTGCCTCCAGTGGTGTAAACTATTTATTTTATCTTCTTATTTGAAGATTTGGCCGTTTGCAGGGGGGGAGGAGCATGATGTCTTAGAAAATGATTTTGTATTTTTGGGGGTAGGATGTAGCCATATCACACACTTCCTGTGCCTTCCTGTGTGTGCCTCCAGGCACAAGTGGGAACCACTCGTGTCTGCGCCGTTCCTCCCGTTCTGGCCATCGTTGTGGGCTCTGCACATGCAGGGGACTCCTAGATGTGTGTGTTGGTTACTGGCAGAGCTGTTGCAATCGGTATGCTGTACTTGGTACTGCTGGAGCCTGTCTCCTGGAAGTGCTGGTCCCTGGAAGATGCTGCTGTTGCCGAGGTGTGGTTGAGCTGGGGCAGCCTCACTGGCGTGAGCTCCAGCGAAAAGTTGGGGTTCCAGGATGGTGTCTCTGTGCTCCTACCAGCACACAGAGGACTGTGCTCGTGTTTGTGCTTGGACTGGAGGGCTCTAGGAAAGTCAGACAAACAGACCATCATCGCAAATTCCGATGTTCAGGACCTGATGGTACAAAGCATTTCTTATTAGTCTTCAGGCGTCCTATGGTTCTCACAATGTCCGGGTCTGGGATCCATCTTGGATACCAAGGTTCCCAGGTGCCTGGCTCCCTCATCTTACCCGGCATGATGCGTTGTAGAGCAAGTGCACACTCTCCTGGGTGCTTTAAATTGTTACTACCTGACTTACAGCACCTATCACAGGGTAAATACTCTATAAAGTTACCACACAGTGCTGCTCAAGGAATAATAATAACAAAGGGAACACATCTGTGTGTTCAGTATAGATGAGATGACAGTTTCTTTTCTTCAATGATATCAATGCATAAATGATTGGATCCACAGCTGTGCAGTCTATAGGTTATGAAGGCCCGGTGGGTATCAGGTCAATGCACTGCCCTTTGGGACCTTAGCCTGACTGTTGCTGGTTTTCTGACATGCTCTGTGCATCACCAGTTAGTGAGCAGAAGCCGTGTTTACAGTAAATAAGTAGCATGCAGCTAGCTTCTCTCACGACCTCATCCCCACATGGAGGTCTAGGCATGTTTACTGGATGCCGAGGGCTCTGAACAGGAAAGTGTATATCGCTTTGGGTGTTTTGCTTAGGAAAGTATTTCCCTGGTCTTTCCTTTCCCCTTTCGTTAAAGAGTACTATGAGGCACTTCCGTCTTTGTACATAGCCACGTTTGGTGTTGGAATGACCTCAATGAGTACTTGCCAAAGAGACGGGGAGCAGGGTCTTTGTGTGGGCGTGTGTTTGCTCAGTGGTGTCTTAGGATTGGCAGCTGGATCTAGGAAGCTGGTGGTTATTGCTCAAGGGTCAGGCTGTTGGTAGAACACGTCACGTGTGCTGTGGGAAGCAGCTGGTGTCCCGACTGCAGCTCAAAAGGCACAGGTTGACTTAATGCCATCCTTAAGTCATTTGTTTTCCTTGCAAAAGGAATATGTGCCTTATGTAAAAGAAAGAGCACTAGAGAGCAAAAGAGGGAAGAACTAAACCTGCGTGTTCGGACCAAGATGCAGCCGTGCTTGCTGTGCTGAAGAGTGTCATTTTCTTGTTGGTGTAAGTGAGGCTTTGCCCCTTTCTCTTCCTAGATGATATTTTGCCTCCTACTTCCTGTAGCTTTACTGTGGACAGGGCACAGTGGGGGCTCAACATCTCCGTTCATGTTTTCCTCTGAAAATGACTCACCGTCCATTATGGCAGACACATGTTGACAGTTTGACAGTGACCAATTCATATTAAATCCCTTTTTAAAAGGTACCATTAAAAAAAAGATACCGTAATTTGGTTCCTTGCACTCTTGGACTTTTATAGAAAAGCTTGAATCAGAGAATGGAAGCATAAAACTGCTTCTTTCTGGTTTATTTCTCTCCACCAAACCTGTCAACCTAATTTCTAGAAAATTTACCAAGAGTATGTAATTATTCCTATGATAGTCCATAGTGTGAATTTACTTAGACCACTCATATCATTAGAGAGTTAGTCACTATTCCAACAATCTGTCCCCTGACAACCTTAGATTTCACAAGTTTTTGGAAAGAGGTTCTGTGTCCTCCAGACACTCAGGTCTATACTATACTAGGCTAGGCTAGGCTATAGCGCGAAATTCGTCCTGTTCCCAGCTCCTAATGCTTTCATTCGGGTGCACTAGAATTTCTATATGCATGGCCTTTGGCACAATAAGATGCAGTTCAGGGAGTTTGCCCAAATGAAGCTCTAAGAACAGGAACCTGGAGTTGTCATTGAGAGCCACTTAGCAGTCCTGGCAGAAAAGGGCCTGACGAATCCTACGCAGGCTCTTCCGGGTCCTCCTTCAGCTTCTGCAGGCTAGAACTTTCCCTGTCTTCAGGGCATTTGCTTCTGAGATTTTACCCAACAGTACCAAGCCAGACAACTAGGCAATCAATGATGGAAATATTTACTACTATTAAAAAAATCACAGTATAATCATTTTAGTCAGCATGTTATAAAAATGTGCATGATGTTCCGTTTTTATATTAAAATGACGCGCCAGGTGTGTGTCTGTGAGTAGGAAGAGCCATCCAGGAAGGTACTGACTTTGTCATCCTGATATTTTACAACAGGAACACACTGGCTTAAAAAGCAGGGGGAGAGAAAGGAGAGCCATTGCAGAAACTATATCATAGTTGAGCAGGATGTTGAAGCATTTATGATAAGAATAAAAGAGAGAGAGGCTGTTCAAGTGTGAGAAATATCCAGTCGTTGATGTTGAGTCGTTCAACATCCAGAAGTGTTTGAGTTGGAAGGTGCTTAGAAATCCCGTGCCAAGCTGGAGTGGCCGCGGTTGAGTCCCGAGAGCTGCGTGCTGCTGCTGGTACCGAGCTGGGTTGGCTGGCTCACCTCCTCAGCAGCTCCTCCGCAGGGCACCCATTCATCCTGGAGCTTTATTTTTAAAGTGTTGTCTCAGGAAGTCTATTTTGCTGGCATCCCAGTATCCCTAATTTGTACAAAGACCGGATGTGGTTCTCTTAAAATCGGTACTTGTGTAGCCGTAATTAAGTATTTAAGTGCTTCCACTGAGAAACGATTTCCACAGTGCTGCTGTCTGCCTGTGGAGCCCCAGAGACCTGGGCTGTGATGTCCATCACTGTGGACTGCCCGTGGAGTCTCAGGCCATTTCCCCGACAGGTGCTCTCGATACCACATCTTTCATCAGAGCGCTTTATTGGACAGCCTGGCCAGCTGGGACACTCATTGTTCCAGATTAGTGTCGTAAGTGGAGATGGTGGTCAATCCTACCCCCAGTGGCCTGTGAGCAGTCTGTCTGCAACCCATCCTGCTGGCAGGCAGAAGACAAATGCCATGAGAAGCCCCAGCTCGGCTGAGCTCACATCTCGGGTACCTCTGCTCCATCTCTCTCCATCTTTGCCTTCATCCACAGAGTTGGATAATTTTTGTCTTTTTCGAACTATACTCTTAATTTCTTTAAACCTGCCTCCGTGTGTGTGTGTGTGTGTGTGTGTGTGTAGGAGGAGGAGGAGGAGCATCTTGATAAGCATGGGTTACATATTACACGATTATATTTCTTTGTGTAGTCCAGCGGTGGTTGGCCTCTCTCACAGAGCCTGTGGGTTGGACAAGGCAGAGACAGGACCATAGCAAATACGTTGCATCCTGACACTGAGGGGCCCTGGCCTTGAGAGCAACTCTCGGTCATCACAGCCACCATTGCCCATCCTCTGCCAGCTGCTGGCACCACCTGACACTTTGTCTCAACAGCTGACATGGCCTAAGGAGTGGCCAGTTGTCTGTCCTGGGGAGAGCTGCTGCCTTTAAGGATGCTGGGCTTCCTCTCTGCCTTCCAGCTTTTGCCCCCAGCAGTTTAGCTTTTCCAAATGAGAACCAGACCAGCAGCCCGTTCCCTCTGCGACCGCCTGTTGTCACATGTGCTTGGCCTGGTGTCGGGGTTGGAGCCGCCCCGTGGCACTGTCTCTGGATGCTGCTGCGGAGTTTGCGCATCTTCAGCTTGTGGGAACCTGAGGGCGGAGTCCAACTTCTAGGTGCACATTTGTGTCCAGAGCTGCCTGTGAATGGGGACGACTCGGCAGGCAGCTTGGCACGCTGGCTCCTCTGTTGGTACTGTACGGCAGACCTGCAGGACCCGGCTCAGACTCCTCACTCCTGCTGGCGGGGAGGGGGGTAGCTGGCTCACAAGGGAAGAATTACTGATACCAGTGCAGGTGATGGAACCCAGGCCTTGGGCCGAGTCACAGTGGACCCTGCCTACTGTCGCCTTGGGCAGATCAGCAGCTCGGCCCTGGAGTGAGACAATCCCATGGGATGGTACCACATCATTTCCACTGTGATTCTGGTTGACCATGTAACTTCTCTCAGCCTCACCATTCTGCGGTAGAAGATGGAACTACTACTTCTAGAACTGGGGCCGGTGACGTTATGTAGCTCAGTACAGCATTTTGGCTCATGTTCAGGCAGTCCAAAAGCCCAATATGCTAGTATTGTATCATTCTGGGTGCTGGGGACCCAGTATTCCTACCCGCACAGGCCCCCGTCTCTAGGGAGCAGTGGCTCCATGGGCTCCCTGTTGAGCTACT